GCCCAAGTGAGAATTAATCGCTCGTGATTAGGCTTTAAAGCAGTATTCTCACTGCATGCTGCGGACGTACCTCCCCTAATCACCGCCGGGAGAAAGAGAGATCATAATTGGTAAATCTATAGCGGGGATATTTCACCGCTCAGAAAGTGTTGCCAACTAAAGTATTAAATTGAGTTGCACGTGTTATGAGTTCTACCACTTTACAAAATATTTGTAATTTCACCTTAGCGCTATATCTAAATAACCTGAAGTTCTGAGTTTATTCAGTTTCTGTGGATTGCTCATTTTTACGTACGAAAGACTGATGAACGATTTAAAATTATTAGAGGCGTTCTCCAAGAACACAAAATACAAAGACGCCAAAAATTAAACAACAATCATGTGACAGTTTCAGTTTTTAAATCATTTGTCTGCTCTTGTTTACGCTTTTCATGATGTGAGTTTCACATCAAATTCGACGTTTTCCTTTGCAATTTCTTTATTTTAATTTGGTTTGAAACCAGACTTTTTTATCTTAATACATGTTTTATTTCCATTCTTTTCATGGTAGTGTAGTTAGAAAAAATTTATTCGCTAAATCATACAGTTGGTTTTGTAAATTAATTAATTCTTTTCGATTAACACAAGGTATGTTTTTTTTAAAATTCCAAGACATTTTGTTCAATTTATCAAACACGTGCAAAAATTGACATTTTAGTTATTAAAAATCAAAAGGGGCGTTTTCTTTATCTCTACTGAACTTATCTTAAACTATTTATTTTTTTGTCTTTACTGTATTTACTTGACATAGGTTGTGTTGTCGCCCAAAGTGTTTTGAATTATTTACTACTCATTTATCGGTCATTAGTTGCTATTCATATAAACACGTATGGTTTAACATCGATTACCGCATTAAGAGTCGTGACATATTACAAGGTATATGAGAGCATGAATTATTATTAGTTTCAAAATATATATCATGATATTTATCTACTAATAATACGTATTATAATTGAGTACTCACTTAATAAAAATTAACTGATTATTGATAAAAGTTATTGAACTTATTTTAATTTAAATTAGATCATTGTATTTCAGCAAGATTTGTTGTATTTGTTTTTAAAGTTGTGCATATATTTGTATAGTTTAAATGGATCCATTGGGTGTATCATCTGCTATCACAGATGTTTCATCTATCAAGCCTTGGAGTGAAATCAATCCCAGGGATTTACCCGACTCTAGTAATTTTGGGAATCAAGAAAAAGTACACACTGAAAGTCCATTTCCTTTTAATTCAGAAATAAATAGTAAAGTAGCTCTTTGGTAAGTGACTTCTTTAAAAACTAATTACCATAAACAGTTTATTTTTTGATTTATTTGATTCATTTTTCTTTAAAATTTTACTAAACTTTTATTCTTTTTGAATAAATGTTAATTCATTGGAATTCTTTTGGTATAAAATGTATTTTGATTAATTTAAGAATTGTGTAAATCGTTTTTAGATTATATAGATATTTTTTTAAGATAATTTATTTAGTTTGAAAGAGAAAGTCTGCAACAGTCTGTTGACTGGGGAGGGGGGGGGGTAATTGTGTGATTAACATAATGATGGTTCAGTCTAATCAGTTTTGTGCACTGACTGCCTTTTTTCGGAGGGAATACTGAAAATTTTAAAATTTTATATACACTTTTTTTTGTTGAAAATAACCTTGCAGAAGTGTTATACAAATTTTTATTTTGCACTGTTTAAATATTTCCTAATTATGACTAATTCAAAGTGTTCACTTAAACACTGAGTTAAATTAAAATGTTACCAATTTTTTATATGCAAAGGTAAATAAATACTGTGTCAGTTACAAATACTTATTTATTTTTGGTCTAGATTGTTACAGATGAATTCTGTTGTTACATTATTATATTTATGTAATACTCTTGTACATTCTTATATTTATGTAATACTTATGTAATAATTATGTGTTACTCTTGATCAATTAACCAAATGTGGTTTTACATACATATTCTGAAGACAGCATATTGTTTTAATACAAAGCAACATTAATAAGCATGAAATCCTTTAAATGTCATATTTTAGGACATGACAATGAGATGCAGAGTAATTTTATTTAATCAAGAATAACTGAAAATATATGAAAACCAATAGTATTTATCTACATAATTCAAATTATTCTTCTAATTGGCCAAGTAAAGTATATTAACACAACTTTTTAGGGAGTGTTGCCATCCATATAGAACCTCTATTTATGTTTTAAATAAATGGGAATTTCAAATGTGATTACTGTAAAAAAGAAACCTCCAGGAAAGACCATTCTTTTATAACTACCTCCTCTGTTTTCGACCGCTTTTGGGAGGTACGGAATTTTTCCCATAGACTTAATGATGAAGAAAACCTTGAGGAGAGACCATTAGAACCTTTCTCAGTGACCGAGCAAATCTCTGTACCAAATGCGAAAAATGTCAAATAAGGAACCTCGAAAAAGAATTCAAAACAGAAAATATTAACAAAACAAATAAGAAGATTGAAATGTATTCAAAGTATTTGTGTGGGGCTCTTATTTAGAGCACTCATTTTTAAGCTCTGAAAGAGATTTACAACCACATGTTGGAGTTAGAGTGCACTAAAGATGATGCTATCAATTATTTATTTTTAGAGTTTAAAAGTTAATAAATTAGAAAAAAAAGTTATTTTAGAAAAACAAAGCATCTCAAACAAACAAACCTCTTATCTTTTCTAAAACCTAACTAATTTTTATAATATAAAATTAAATGTAAACTTAAACAAAAAACACATAGTTGTTTATTTATTTAAAATAGCTTTATCATTCATAATTGGTAAATATGTTTTTAAACATATATCAATAGAGATCATTTTTATTGATGCTAAATTTTATTCATCGATCCTGTTTCATGACTCCAACACAATTGGCATTTTCATACTAAGAAAATGACAATGACTAAAATTGAAATCTTGTATCTTCGATAACATTTTGAGTCAATGAAGTCCCTAAGAGTGACCGACCTCCAGTTACCACCATTTTACCGTGGAGCAGAGAGTGGTTACTCCTGAGAGGTTTCACTGTAATAAACATTGATCAAAATATTTTCAATATACAATAAAGTTTGATTGGATTATTTTGTTTTTGTAGTAACCTAAACATAAAAAAAGAAATTTCAACTTTTACTTTAATAAAAAAGTAAAAAGAATGTAACGAATCAAACTTTTCATGTGAGTAACTTAAAATAATGAATAATGTTTTTCATAAAACTCTGTATTTCTTTATAATATTATAATGAAACATTAAAAGAATAAATTTGAAATTTAAAAAAAAAAATTCAATTTGAAATAAAGCAATATTTTTAATGCCTTAAAATGTTGGAAAGGATATCACCATGTTACAAATTAAGCTTACAATATGGACTTTTAGATGATCAAACATATAAACATTAAAAAAGCGAAATATTCAAATAATTGATTAAATACTTCATTATTTTCTTAGTTATTGATAGTAAAATGGATTTTTTCAACAACACAGAGAAATAATTTGTATCTTTTAAACTTTGCAGCAAATACACATTGCTTCTCACTATCTATGTACAGTACGCAAAATAAAAAAAAGATAACACCCTGAATAACTTTTTTTCGAGTCAGAGACATATTATAAGACGAATCACTCACACCAAAATAGTTCTGAAAAGTTATGCGTCATTACAACACTCACTCCACTTGTGGCGCTAGTAGATGGTGTAGTCCTAGTTTTCACAGAATTTAATTGAAATTTTGATAATTTTTAATTTTTTTTTTTAAATTAAAACTTTTTACAAGTTTATAATTTAGAATCTATGATACATTTTGACTTTGCGTAAACAACTGTAGCATCTTATTTCTAATTTTAAAAAATCTATTCTAGTTTTAATTTTGTTAAAGAAAATTTTTAAGTATAGTTAAGATTATTTTATTTAAATAACTTTCAATTTTTGCAAAAATTTATTCTAACCAATTGAAGAAAACTATCAATTTCTAAACTTTTAATGACTAAGAATTTTGATTATTTAGCTAATAACTGCTTTTTTAAGTTAAAAATGGAATTATTAAAATTAAAATTGTTATCAGTTCTTTTTATTAAATTTATTTTTTAATTTTATGAGCAAATTATGTTTATATATTTATATCAAGCTAAAAATTTTTTTTATTTATAAGCACATATGAGGTAAATCTTTATTTTTGCATTGATAATTTGTTTAGCATTGATTTGTTTAGTATTGAAAAAAAGTTAATACATAAACTCTAAAATATTTTAGAATTTATTTATTATTTTAAATTAAAACAAAATTTTATTGTAATGAAAATAGTGTTTTCCTATCTTCTTTCTATGTGAATAATGCATCAGGGAAATATTTAGTATCAAATCGTATGAGGATTTAAGTTAGTAAATTATTCACTTTAAATTTTAACAGTAACTTCTATTTCATTATCATGGAGGAATAATGTATAATTTTAAGTTAGCAAAAGTTAGCAAAAAACTAACTTAATTAGAAATTTTCTTTCCATGTTAACACAGTTTTCTAAAAAGTAAAAAAAGCTGGAAAAATTTAACAGGCTAGTTGCATTAAGATACAATGTTTTTTATACAATAGTTTCTCTAAATTTTTTATATAATCATTACTAGAAAGCAGCACCAATAACAAAATCCGTAATTTCAAATACTTATTGATTGCAATTTTAGATTTCAATCAGCTTATGTACTGTAATTCTGTTTGTTAATATGCTTTTATTTATACGTTTATTTATACCTTTTATTTATACGTTAAGGAAGAAAAAAGAATTACTGTTGATTGCGGCTAGATTAGAAAAGCATCGTAACTTATTTGGATGTTAGAAGAAACTTAAATTAGTAATAATAATCAATTATTTATTTTTAATATATTTTTATTTATAATAATTATTTACGCTAATTATTTATTTATAAATATTTATATAATAAATAGTAAGTATAGTTTCAAATCTTGCAAAAGACTTTTTAAGTAAAGAGTTTTTGGTAAGTGGTTTGAAGATTTAATAACAGAGATATTTATTTTGTGATATCCTCAATAAATGGCTAAGCAATGTTACTGCCCCAAATGAGTAATTTAAGATAACCATAGACCAATTCAGGAAAGCAATAGCTTATTTCACTCCATTGTTGAACAACCAAGTTCAGACAATAAAAAAAAATGAAATGACTTTTTGTGATTGCTCGTGGAAGTTTATTAATAGTTAGTGGAAAAATGTTTTGAGGCAATAGATATTTTCGAACTGATTTCTGGCCAAAAAGCAAAGATTCTTTTCTTTTTAATCTCCTTTGGAAAGAAAATTTGAATCGATTTATAAATTATTTATGATTTTCCAAGCTTTTAGAATTTGAACACATGCACTTTTTTTTTATCTGACATTATTTGTTTTTCTTGCTTTAATTTCACTTCATTTATATGAGAATTTCATATGCTAATCAAATTTACATAATTTTTTATAATTATATACAAAATTTTAAGAATAATCCTTTTTGTAGATTTGATCGAGTCTTCTAGGCAAGAAAGTTTTTAAAAATAATGCAGAGGGTATGGTAATTCTAATGCACATTCACAAGGTTTCTTATAATTAATGATATTTTTTTCTGTAATTGAAGAAATTGGGGAATATTAAGAGGCATTTTAAAAACATTGAAATATATATGTTTAAGAATATCATGTTGAAATAATATGTTGTATACTGTAGCATTCATTGTTTAAAAAATCACCTCATTCTGTCAGATATTTAAATAACATAGATTTCTTTGGATGAAGAGGATTTGCTAATAGCATCCTGATGTTTCGATATATTCTGAAACTTATTTTCACAAATTCACCATTCTTGAACATGGTTATTTATTTTGATTTTTGAAGTTCAATGAGAAATATTGTTACAATCATTTGTAAATGCATATCGTTTTAATAATTTATTCAATATATTGAAATTGGAAAAAAATATAAATAAATATCTGAAAATTTGCTATTTCCTTTTATTGGCATTTCACTTAATTGATTTCGTAATAACAAAATTATTAAATAAATAATCATTGATTTATTTAACACAAACCTTTTACAGTCAGAGCTTGACTAAGGGAGGGGCATACGGGGCAGTTGCCCAGATTCCACATCAGAGGGGCCCTCCAAATTGAATAGAAGATTTATTTTAGGAATCCTTCTTTAATAAAATTTTTTCTAAACAAAATATCAGTACAATGTAAAATCCATGAGTTTTATGTTAGCTTCTTCATTAATCTATCATATGAGCACAAAAAATCTATATTTCGTAAATCCATAGCTTTCTTGTGCGAATTGAGCTAAATTTTCGCAATTACGATGGACAAATTTAGCCAATCAAAAGCCTTTTTTTTTACATATTGCGAAATATGAAGTGTTTACAAAAATACAGGCTTCTGATTGGCTTAATGAGCCATCGTAATTGCAAAAGTTTAGCTGAATTCCTCCTTAATGTCAGCAAGGATATAAATTTTTTGCAGCTATATGACAAAGTTAATAATCAGAAAACTACATTCGGCATGATAGACATAGAAATGTCAGAAAATCAATAAAATGGGCAGAACGATATTTTGTCTGACCATTGGAGGGAAGGATACATTTATAGCTATTAATTTATAGGTTCTAGTCAATTTTCTTGTTATATATCTGTAATGAGGTGAAAAAGTTAAATACCTCTATAAAGTCCTTTTTTTCATTACTGAAATAGTGAAGCAGTAAGGAGCCCCTAAGGAAGTTTTTGCCCTGGGCCCCAATTAGGTTAAATTGAGCCATGATTACAGTTTTCAAACTGGTTAAAAAAAATTACTGGTTAAAAAAAAGGTCCTTACTCATGGAAACCTAGGGTTTTGGGAACTGCTGGGGTGGAGTATACTGGGAAAATGTATATCAGGCAAAGGCACTTAACCTAAAATAACATCTGTGTAGTGAATTTCTGGAAAAATTTATATCAGACAATCAAAGTTGTACTTAATAAACACGGATAACAATTTTCTGCAGGCACATCTTTTCAAAGGTAACATTAAAATCTACTAATCAAAATAACTGAGCAATTCCTAAAACTTATAGTTTTCAGCTGAAATCTTTTCTCTCTAACTTTCTTGATCATTACATTACACACTTATCTGTTCACACAAGTACAATTCAAACTCTACATTGACAGTTATTATAGCTGATGTTGCCAAGAATGAAACTCAAAAGAAAGGAGCTGATGCATAACAAATCATAATCAAATAAATTTATCTTAAAATAGCAACAGTTTTAGTTTAAAGTTTTTTCTTCTGTATTTAGATATGAATTCCTAATACAAATAAATGTGTATGTAAATTTTTAAATTACAATTACATTTGTTAAATTAAATCATAAGAAGTTTTAAAATTTTTCTAATTTTACTCAGGAAATATCAGGGAATTTACTTTTTCTAGAGAGTGGCCATTCTGATTTACTGCATGAAAGTTAGAAAAAAATTATATTTGTAAAGCCTGTTGTTTGGTTTGAAAGATTGTGCCTTTTTATGCGAAAAAATTTCAAATAAATTTTTACTTTAATTATTGTGTTTATGTTTTGAATTTGAATCTAGTTTTTTTTTTAATGTTTCTAGTTTTTTCTAGTTTTTTTTTAATTGGAATCTAGTTTTTTTTTAAATCTAGTTTTTTTTATATTGCACATTAAATAAGCTTTTATATGATTGATCTTTTATTTATTCTTTATTAAGATTTTTATTCATGATTTTTATTCTTTTATTTATTCATGTTGATTTATTCACGATAAAGATTATTCATGATTAAGATTGTATTATTTCAGGGTTGGTGACATTTGTTCTTTACGAACTCAAGTGGTTGTTCATTCTACGAATGAATCTTTGACTGACCGCAGTCCATTGAATGACAGGCTGTTAAGGAAAGCAGGGCCTCAATTAAAAGAAGATTTGGCTCTGAATATAAAAGGTGAGTAGTAATTTAAAGTAATATCTGTATAGAGAGTTCAATTATCACATTTTACTTTCTGAATCTCTTAAAAATTATAGAAAAAATAAATTTTGGGATGTAGATAAGAAAGATATAAACTATAATGTTGATAATAAATCATAAATTTCTTATTGTTCTTAATTTTTTGTAATAAAAGTTTTTATTGCAGCTTGTCGCACTGGAGAAGCAAAAATAACTAAGGGCTATAATTTGCCAGCAAGGTTTGTAATACATACTGTTGGGCCAAAGTTTAATGTGAAGTACCAAACAGCTGCAGAAAGTGCTCTTTTTTCTTGTTATTTCAAAGTTTTGACACTTGCAAAGTAAATATTTGTTTATTATCATTTTTTTATAAATTGTAAAATCATATATGCAAAGTATCATTTATTTAAATGAATAACTGTAATCAAAGGATGAAACTATGGGATATATTATCCATCAAAATCTACTAATACCATGTTCTTAGATATTCATGACTTTTATGAATATAATCATTTGTATGCAATTCATAAATGTAAAGCTTGCTATGCAAACTATTACAAGTTACCTACTTTAAAATGTAACCTGTTGAAGTTATATGCTGATGTAATCTTCAAGTACTCTAATTTGTTACAAAATGTTTTGAGCAAACAGTTTTTTCATTTTTTTTTTAATTTTTAAATCAGTTGCAAACTACATTGATTTTTTCAAAAATTTTTTTTTATAAAAGAAAAAGGTTTCAAAAATCATTAGAAAACTATGTGTTTTGCTTTTAAAATGTTTTCCAATTAATAAATGCATAAAAACTGAAATTGTTTGGAAAGTTTACAGCTTTTATTTTTCTTAATTATGATAAGTTGTTTATCATGTATAATAAAAAAACTTTAATCATGTATAATAAAAGCTGTCTGATAAGTGCAAAAATAAGCACTAAAACCATGTTTTAAGAAATTACATTAGCAAAACTTATGATGCCATATAACTTTTAGCTTTTTACATATGCACTTTAAACAAAATACCAATTTTATGTGTTGCTTTTTACTTATGCTCTTATTATAATTTGATATATTGGTTCTGAAAAACAGTTTTATCACTTAAATGTATTGTGTAAAACATTTATTAAAACATTTTGACTCTAATATTTTTTCTTTAGAATAATCTGATTACGAAAATATCTTTCAAATTGGTTCTTGACATTTGAAAAGTGTTGAGAATCCTATCAAAAGTCTTAAGTAGTAGTACTGTCATATTTTGATATAAAAAACTTTAGTTTAGTAAGATATTTATAATTCTTGATACCTCAATAACATATCAACTCTCTGACAATAGGGAATGGAAAAAAAAGAAATAGTGTGCTTTCTTCTCAAACTTACAGTAATCCACATACAAAAGAACTTTATTTAAGGAATATTTTTCTATATTCATTTTGTTAAGTGTAGATTTCAATTTTTATCTTTTAGGGAGCATAATCTGAGGTCTGTTGGTCTTTGTACCATAAATTCCATACGAAGAAATTATCCTCCTCAAGATGGTGCACATATAGCTCTTCGTAAGTTTTTCAAAATTATTTAATGTTGTATAAATTGAATAGAAAAGCATAAGGTTTTATTTCCTAATGGAAGTGTTTTGTAATTTTAAAAAATAATTAAACACTTTAAATTAATGTAAGAATTATATTAAATTGTATTATGAGCTTAATTGTTCCATTGCTCATTTTTGTCTGTGTTTATACTAAAACTTTTTTTAGATAGTGAAACTTCCAGGAAAGACCATCTCTACATAATATCCACCTCTATTTATGACCACTTTTAGGATTCACGGAATTTTTTCCATACACTTTGTGTTGAAGAAATTTGTTAGGAGTGACCATCAAAACCTCTCTCAGTGACTGGGCAAACATTTGTACCAAATGTGTATAAATTCAAATAAGGAAACCAAAATAAAAAATATTGACGAAACAAATAAGTAGATTAAAATGTATTAAAAATATTTGTGTGAGGCTATTATTAAGAAAGGTTTTTTTGATGATATAACCTCATGTTGCAGTCAGAGTGCACTAAAGACAATGTTGTCAATGCTAGAGTTGAAAGTTACATTAGAAAAAAAGTTATTTTAGAACAGGCATCTCAAACAGACTTCTTCTCATCTTTTAAAGCTAACTAATTTCTATGATATAAAATTAAATGCAAACTTCAACAGACAACATAATTGTTTATTTATTTAAAATAGCGTTATCATTCATAATCAGTAGATTTGTTTTTACACTTAATTATATCAGTTGTGATCTTTTTATAGCCACTAAATTTTATTTATCGATCCCTTTTTTGCTTGATGCCAACAGAAATGGCATTTCTGCACCAAGAAAATGACACTGATTAAAATTAAAATAGTTTGTGAAAAACCATGTACCTTAGATAATAATTTGGAAGTCAATAGAGGTAACCTCTAAGAACAAACAACCTCCATCAACGACCATTTCACTGTGGAACAGAGAGGGGTTGCTCCCAAGAAATTTTAATGTATATTCTTAAAAATGCAGGCATTTGTTTTTCTACTTCTAGCCATTAGTTAATACTGTCTATGATGATTCCAAAATGTCCTGACAAAAATTTATATTATTGCAGGTTGTTTGGAATACTTAAGACATTCAAGAGAATACTATCAATTAATTTTTGAAAATGTTTAAACTGACATAATTAAGAAAAAAAATTCCTTGATTTTATGTAAATGTCACAGGATGTGTATTATTTTTAAAGCTTGCTTAAAGGTGCTTATTTTTGATTTACGTTCTTTAAAAGCAACTAAAGGTGCTTTTTTTAATTCAGGATTTGTGAAAAGTGTCTAATTTTCTATTTTTAAAACAGGAATTTTTTCTTTGCAGTGTCGATTATCGTTCTAAATTACGAAAACAGCATGATTTTCACAATTTTCTCTGCAATATTTATCAGAAACTAGTTCTTTTATCATAATTATGTAAAGTTTTTTAAAATATTTTTGAATTTTGTTGATTTTATGTTTATAAATTAAGAACTCTAAGTAATATAAAAAATTATTCTTATTACTGCACTGATCCTAATTATGATTTTTCTGGAAAGTGATTAAAAATATTTTTAAGTGCTTAAAAAGAACTTAAAAGGTGCTTATTTTTTGTTGAAAAATCTAGCTATGCACACTGTATCAATGTTTATCTTTAATAGAAATTTTAGAAGAATGAATGAGTTTTAACTAGAAAACTTTTTGGTTCAAAATGAGTTATCAAATGCAGTATCACATCTTATAGATATTAGAATTGGCATGTATTATAAGTTTAAAATTAATCAGTTAAATTTAGTTTTCTCTAGATTGTATTATCATTAGCCTTATGCAAATTAAACAAAGTAAATCCGTCGTTATGTGATGCTATTTTCTATCACATTTTGGTATTACATGCTCTCATGAATATTTTATTTGTCATCATTCTTTCCTCGTGTTTATTTATATAAGGTTAACTATTTGATATATCTTTCATACATTATATTATGTCACAGCTGTTATCAAAATATGTTTAGTTCAGTATATGAATAAAGAAAAACAATGGAAATGAAGCACAAATAAAGATGCAGAATTAGACCGACTGAAGTTTCAGTTTTACAAACAAAAACCTTCCTTAATATGATGTGTAATCTCAAGTATGATCAAGCAGGCACATTTTTACTGTTGCACAATCTAATGGTTTCATATTATACCTTACAATTATATTCATCAATGAAGTTTAACATTTGACTTTTAATGCATTGGTGCAACATATTTCAAGATTGTGCATAGCTGGAGAAAAAAATTAACAATAAGGGGAAAGAACTAATAACTTCTTAGATAATTCTTAAAAATTATTTGAATCGGGCAAATATGGTGCAAATTCAAAACATCATCCATTGTAAACATTTGATTGATATTTCATCTTCCAAATATTGTTCATTAATTAGTATTTAAGTATTATAGAATATGATTTTCTCCTTTTTATTTTTATAGAGCTAAACATTATTTGAATGCAACATACTACTGATTACATAATAGAAATGAAATTTCTTTTTATCAAATATGCCTTTTAAAAGCATCAAATATGATGTCTTTTGAATAATGTGTTCAATTATGCTATACATTATTTAGTACTTAACCAGAATAGAGCTCAATTCTAAAACTACCGTATATATAATATTTTTTTTAACTGGATATAAATTGATGACAAGTGCAAAAAATAAGTACAGTAGGGAACCGATTATCCGGAACGGTCGGGACCATCGCTATTCCGGATAACTGATTTTTCCGGTTTTCTGAATCGCTACAAAAAGCCGTTTTTTTTATTGTTAAACCAACTAAAAAAAATTTTTTTTGGAAATAAACTTAAAAATAAAAAAATACGATGAAGTAATACACTAATGAGTATTTCCATAATGATGGTAAGGTAAACATCTTTAAAAAAAAGAAAGAAAAATCGTAAAATCTCATGAGGAAAAATTTTTTTTTTTTTAAAATGGCGAGAAAATTTATCGAATTTCGTTCCGGTTGTTTGGTTTTCCGGTTTTCTGATTTCCGGATAACGGGTTCTGTACTGTATATTGGTTAAGAATTCGTGTAATCTTGAACCGTAATTCACTGTAATTACTCTAAAATTTTTTTCAGTTCTAAATTCATGTTTATGCTTAAGAATTTAAAGATTCTAGAATATGGTTTTATCCTTTTATGATTTTTTAAAATTAAATAAGATTTGAACATCATATATGATTGGTAAAATAAAGAAAATGAAGATTCTTAACCCTTTGAAGCACACAAACATAAATTTTCATATTTTTCTTAAAACTAAGCTATTGGTTACAATGCATAGGGTCTAAAATAAGGTAAATTGCATTTAAGAAAAATTCTGATACTACATTGACTCCCATGGGGGGTGGTGGTTTCAGAGGTGTTCCACTGTGCACATAGAACATTTTCATGTAACAAATATTTTTTTAAATTTGTTTCATAACATTATGTATAATTATTTTTTACATTATACAATGATGTATTATTACAATTTATCTGAGGAAATAAAAATTTTTATAAATGCGGAAATAAGTAAATAAAATTTATTATAAATGCGGAAATAAGTAAATAAAATTTATTATACTTCTACTGACAACTAGTAAATATCAAAAGCTAGCATTCTTTGCTATAGTATAATAATATTGTGTCCTTAATTTTTCAGCATTTTATATGATCAATAAATTAAGAAATTAAGGATATTCTGATATTTTTATAAAAATTAATGTGAAGATTAATAAGATAAATATAAAATAAAATGCTACAAAACCTACAAAAATTTTAAAAAAATTACTTGAAATGCTGTGAAGTTGAAAATCAGGAATATTAAAATAATAACGCTGAAATATCTTGGTGCGATTCATAATATTTGTCATAAATAAAGGCAAGAAATAGAAAATATACTTAATATCATTAAAGTGTAATATCACTAATTCACAAAGAACGCAACTTAAAATTTGTTTCAGGTAAGAAATTTGCAATTACCAGTCTTATATTTTCATTATAGAGACTGTTCATTTATAAAACTCATGGCCCACATCTCATAATTATCTATCACTGTAAAATATATGTTTGAGGAATAAAATAAAGCCTAATAAATTGTGAATCACTTCACTAGCTGAGTTAGTAAAGGGGAAAAAAGGGCAAAGACATGTGTTGGAGAGAATGTTATCTCCAACTCTAGGTGCACGGTGGCATCACTCAGAAACCAACAAAAATAAATGTAAAAACTGAAAGCTTTTCTTAAGAATTTTTATAATGGATAAATGTGTATGTCAAGAGGAACTCAAATGACAAATCTGAGTGATAACTTTAAATTATTTTTCGAATTTTATTTGGTAAAAATAAATAAATTTAAACTATTGAAAAAATGCATTGAAAAAGTTTTATTTTTCTCAATGAAAGTTATAATTTAAGTGTATTGCTGCCATCTATTAGTTATGGATTGAATTTCATTATGGAAGCTTTGGTTTCACAGATTGACCTCCTTGCATTTAGAATTTTTTTTTTAAAAAAAGAGTGGTTTTGATGTTGTTGTGAGTTGAAGGGTTGATTAAAAATGTCACACGACAGCATGAAGTTAGCAACTATTGAATAGTGTTCTGTTATGTTGTGCATGACATAGAATTTAACGAGAATATAATGATTTAAATTAATTCTGATAAGTGCCAGAAATAAGTATTATTGAAAAGATCATACAATTTTAAACCATTATTCATTGTACCTGCTTCATAATTAGTCATGTTATATTGTTATGTATAAGTATTTAACAATCTAGGATATGATTTTATCATTTCATGATTTTTGTGAAGTTAAGTATCGCTCAACTGTGAACATTGAAAATTAAAGTATTTGATGTGTTTCATCCTTTATGAGTTGTAAATGGCTGTGCTGAACATACCATGATATTAGCAACTGATTTTAATTTACAACTCATTCATGATGAAAAACAATGCCAATTGATTTTTCAAATGGTGGAGCTGGTAGCACTTTCTGAGCACATTAGCACTTTCTGAGGCAATGCTGCTAGTCAGACAACACTTAATCCAAAGATGTTACAAACCACTAGATATGTATTACTATTTGTATCTAAAAGTTCACCGATTTTTAACTACCACTATTTGAGCAATAAAAAAGACAAAGTATGCCTCCTAAATAAGAATACACTGTCTGAGGTTGCAGTTGGTAATATGTTGCCTGACTGAAATTTGCAACCGAAATTTGCTGATCTGCAAAGGGTTGAAATATATTTAAGACATTTGGGGGTATTGTATACTTGACTATTAGGAGTTTATTTCAGGTGCACTCATATGATTTTTTTTTTATCTCAGGAACAGTGAGAAGATTTCTTGAAAAATATGGTTCCTCTTTTGATTTAATTGTTTTCGCTGTTGAAGATGTTGATGTTGGTATTTATGAACTATTAATGCCTTTATATTACCCACGATCTAAAGAGGAAGAAGAATATGCTTTATATTATCTCCCTAGTGATGTTGGTGGAGAAAATGGGGAAGCTTATATCCCTGAAAGACAAATGAGAATAGTTGATAGACCTTTCAAACCAAATGATGGTAAATATATTTTGTATGCTTATGTTGATATTAATAATAATTGTGTAAAAACACATGCAATCCACAGAGCTCATGAGAAGTGAATAATTTGATGAATAAGAGTTTTTAGAAATTTTTAGAATCAGTAAATTTTTTTAGAAAGCTTAAAAATATTAAAAGTAAATTGAAAAAAAGTAATAAAAAGAAAAATTTTTTCATCAAAAAAAAGGTATCTTTATTATGACTTTGGATATTGTTAATATTTTTTGGAAATACAAAAACTAATTTATTTCCAAACAGCAAGCTAAAGTCGTTTTGAAATGTTTATTTTTTTCTGTTCAAAATAATAGGAGTTATATGAAAATGTTGTTTATAAATAAGAGTCTTGTGGCATTTAAGTGACATTTTGAAAAAAATTAAATTTTCAGAGTTACAGAATATATTCTGGGTTGTTTTCAGAATACTAACCTGTTAACTAGGGAATAAATTTTTGTTCAACTTGTTTCACTATGGAGCTTTTCACAGTTATAAGTATTGTCATCACACCTTAAGTAATCTCCATGAGGAAAAATGTCATGCCCATTGCAGTACGCTTAATCCATAAAAAAGTGGACATATTGATACAAACTTTAAGTTCCTTCAATATATTTGAAATTTTGAATATTAACTTTAAAAATATGTATTATTTTATATTGCAATGAAAAGGAAGAAATTTTTTGTCATTAACTTGCTTATTTTAATTTATAAAGTGACATTATGTCTGTTTGGAAAGACAACCAAAAATCTTTGTTTCATGGTCTCGTATAGCTCAAGTAATTCTGCAAATATCTTAACTCATCTATACAATCTGATAGCCTATTATTGAGAGTGTTTGCCTGAAGAAAAGTGTTAACTTATTTTCATTACAAATGGTAAGCATATTTAATTTTACTCTTAATTATTATTACATGCACCAGAAGTTACATTTATATCTGCACAAAAAAATTTCTTTAAGTGTAAGTTTTGATGCTTTGTATTCAAAAGCAGTTTATGAAGTTACTTTGAATTACAGAAACAAGAAAATTTATTATTTTTAATTAAAGTTATTATGCATGTTTGTATTGAGGCTGTGACATATATTTAAAGTCTCACCCGCAGATTCATTTTAAATTGAATTCAAATAAAATTTAAACAAACTATTCAGAAAATTGATGTAAAAATAATATGCTGGAAATTATGTAAATGACTACAGTAACTATACTCTTTGAAGTAGTTGTGTGAACCCCACTTAATAAATCAAAATTAGCCTCATTTGAGAATGTGGCATTGCATACAATTGTTTATTAATTTAGTTTAGATTGATAAGTTGTAGCTTCTTAAGGAAAATCTTTGTAAATGATATATGATTAAGAAAATAAATTGAAGCGTAAGAATTATCTTAAGTAATTTTTTTTAATTATACAAGTATAATTGTTATTTTATAGGATTTTTAATTTTTATTTTTTTTAAATAAATATAATATTTGAAGCAGATTTTTTGTTTATTTTTACTTAAATAGAAAGAAGGAATAAGAAGAAAAAAAAGAATTATTGAAACTGTTATTTAAGTGCTTATAAAGTTAGCATAAAATGTATATACTGAGTTTGAAACTAGATAAAATTTATAAATAAACTTCTTTTAAGATTAAAAATTTTAAATCATTTTATAAAAATATTTAAAATTTGTTAAATATGTAATTTTAGACTTTTGGTGTTATATTTATTCATTTTATACATGAATTTCTTTTTCAGAAGGAGTCATGAAATGGTCATGAAATTCTCGTAAAAAGATTAAGGAAACCCCTTAAATATGCAGACTATCTGGAAAAGATGTTTTGACACATGTTTCTGAATCTTGGACAATAACAAAACTGGAGGAAAATTGTATCACAATATTTGAGAGAAAGATTTCGGGTAGTATACTTGGTGGTGTAAATGAAAACAATAACTGGAGAAGGAGATTTAACTTTGAACTGTACAAGATTTATAAGCAACCCGATATTATTAAAGACATAAAAATAAATATAATGGATTAGATGGCCCGTGTGATTCAAATGAGTTATGACAATACAATGAGAAAGATAATGCTTTTTAGTCCCACTGGAACAAGAAAGCATCAAAGGCCGCGCTTGAGATGGGCTGACTCTGTGGAGTCTGTTTTTCTTGCAATTAATGAAAAGAATTGGAGATAAATCGGAAGATGTTATGGAGAAATCTTCAGAGGAAGGCATTGCGCTGTCTGGACAACTATGATGATGATCTAGAAAAGAGAAGGGAAGAGACAAAAGCAAGGAGGAAAAAAATTTAAACAAAAAAACAGCCAAGAAGGAAAAACAATTAAATTGGCAAAAGAAGAATAGGAAACAAAGAAAAATAATATTATTACCTACTGTCTCATTTATTAATATATTCGTTAAAAAAATTCGCTTTTTATCTATTTGTGTGTGTCATTATTTTGTTAATCATACAAGTCATATCCTCAACAGGATATCACACTTCCAACAAAAACTTTGAATATTTCCTACACAAGCAAGAAATGAGAAAGTAAATTAATTTTTTTCATAGAATAATTATTTAAACGTTATTGTCTGACATAAAAGGAGCATAGTTCACACAGTTGTTATAATTCACAGAATTTTGAGTTTTAGTTCTGAAAGATGCTTTCAATTATATGCAAACCACGGTTAAAGTTTATACAAAATAATAGTTGGATTTCGAAAAAAAATTGTGGTTGAAATTAAAGAACTACTTGTCACAAACTGTCACAATTTCATAAGCACTTCCCCCTTCTAAGCATGACATAATTTATGGATGAATCCTAGAAGATGAATTGCAATTGCAAATTATAATTACCAAGAATAACTTAATTACAGCATCATCTAATATTATTTTCTCAAACCTTTCAAAACAATTTTCATGAAAATTTATCCTTTCTGAAAGACTTGGTAATACCACCTTGTTGTCTAATTTCAAAAGTCATAATTGCCAAAAATCCATAATTTAGTAAAAATTTTAATAGAAAAACTAATAATTTAAATAAATAAAAAACATATTAAAACATATATTAAAAAAATACGTTTGCGCTGACTTTCAACATGTTTTCAAATGAATGTTTGATAACTTGAAATTTTATTTAAATTTTTTTTTTTTACTTCAAATTGCTTTTAAGATAAATTTCTTTTAAAGAAATAGTAAATTCTGATGATAAAATTTATTAAAAGCTGTGCTTAGATTGGGCAATTTAATAATTAGCTACATTTTCAAATTGTTAAGGATGTGTTTTTGAGGAAAATTGTGAGAAAAAGGGGCGTTGCTATCAAGTTAAAACTTCTGAAATATGTTAAGTATCTATCTGGAAACAGTACTTAGGATTAGTTTGAGGTAAAAATTTCTAAATTATAATAATTACATTGTAACTGTATTCATAAAAATCATTATAATCTTTCAATTCAAAAACTCATTTATATTTCTTTCCTTTGATATTAAAAAAAAAGTACCAGTAAAACAACAGGAAAAATTAATTCAATGATGTAGCTGTATATTTACTAATATTGTAAATAACTTTGCATTATTCGGATTAGTTTGCATGATGTGAGTATTAATGAAGAAATATTTATCATACTAGTTTCAAATTTCTACGTGATTGTGTTTCTCATTAAACATGTTTTATTTTTATTCTTTTTTATAAGCACCTTAAAATATTGGATTTAGCAGATAAACAATGTGACTGATATGATATGGTATCTTAGTACCAAAACTTAAAATTATTATGACTATTTTTTGGTAATTCGGGGCAGTTTTAAAATCTGCCAAATGCATAGATTTAACTTAAATTTTTTATTACTCAAAGTTTGACAAACTAATTTTTGTCGTCCAAATATCAGATAATTCTCTAAGATAATTTTTTAAAAGAAAAGTAATTAAAATTGAAAAAATTTTGGTTATTATAAAATACTTTCGTGCCAAGATTCTATGAACAATTAATCTCTCCGGAAATTTCTTAAAATTTTTCTATTACCTTTACAATTTCTCATATAAATGAAATTTGTTATTTCAAAATTTAATCTAAAATTTAAAAAAAAAGTTATTTGTTCAATATCTAATAGCTATTTGTTGTAGAAAAGTAATTCTGTTGTAGTATTTAGAGTTGTTGAATATTTTTGAAAATTTTTCGTCAAGAAAGGGTTGCAAAATAGCAAAAAATGAATCTAAACTTAATTGAAAAAGTTTGGTTTTAACTTTATGTACGTTTTTCTTTTATTGTATGAAATGCTGAATTAAAAAAACTATTGTTGTTTTTCTTTTTTGTGTTCACTAATTTTTTTTTAAAATGTGCCTTCCTTAACAAAAATGGCTACTATTGATTGGTTTTAATGAAATTTTTCCTTTTCCAAAAGCAGAAAATACTAAAAAAAAGTTAATAAAATACTTTAATTTTACATTAATATGATATTTTTCTTTTTTTGATTCTGTACCTAACTTTGCATCTGATATGATTAAGTTTTTTACTTTCTGTTTGTATTTTCAAAACTATCTTTGCTTATTTTATAATAAAGTTTCTTTGTAATGAATACTGCATAAAATTCTGATAATGGCAATAAATTTTAGAAGTTGAAGAAAGTGTTGATTTAGCAGCAGAGTTGCAATCCTCTGTGTGTATTGGCAAAACAGCCTTTGCAAAAATGCATGGTGATTTGGATAGGCATCGCTCAGTAACTAATAAGAATTCTGCTGATTCATGGACATCTGAAGTCCAAAGAAAAACTAAGTATGGGTAATTTATATTTTTATGGCATTTATTTTCAGGATGATTATATTATCAAAAGTTTTTCCTAAACATTAAAAAGATTTAAATTGAATTTTTACGTTTTAATTTTATTTAAATTAATGATTCATCATGTAAGCACACTGGCAATCAATTTATAACTAGTTTCAAAAATTGGATATTATGTAATAAGTTGCTTCAAAAATATAGAAGCGCTTAGTTTCAATGATAATATTAATATTATATAACTAATATTATAGCTAACTAATACCTTTTAGATTATTTGTCTATCTTATTATTAATTATCAAGAATAGTGCAAAAATCCTAGAAATGAATCTTGTAGAACAAAGAAATAAAAAAAAAATGTACTTAAAATTAAAATATAAGATTAAAAGAAAGATAAGAAAATGTACATAAAATTTATCAATTTCAGTATCCAATAAACTTTATACTTTCTTTATTGTCATTCAGTTCCTATTTCGCATTAGGTTTTTCCAAAACCTAATAATGGAACTGTCCATAAATCACCAATTTCATGTTTATTATCATTTACATTATTACATTTCTGTCCCTGTGCTATTTCGCCTGTATAATTTCCTATAAATTTAAATTTGAAGAATCTGTGAGCCAATCCATTATATGTATACCATTGTTGATAAACCATTTATAAGTTTTATTTGCTCTATGACTAGTGGTTTCCTGCTGGATATGAGCATGAAAATTTCTAACTTATAAAAAAGTTGTAATTAATGTTGAGTTGATATTTTATAGAAGTTACATGTTCTGTTTAAATGGGTTTTACTACTTGAATTGAAGCATGCCCAAATGATGATATCTCCTTATTAATGCTTACAGTAAATTATGAATGTCATGCATACAATTTTGAGTAATCGAGACTACCCACACTAAATTTTTTTATCACTTTGTTCTATTGTCATCTTTATTATAAGTACCAGTAATATTGTGCCCAATGAAGTCTCCTAACAGTGCAAAATTACTGAAAAATTGCATGACCTTTCATTTTTACTATGTGGAATGTAAGGATATTTCTTTAAGATGCATTATTATATTGGATAAATTAATTTCTGGTAAACATGTTATTTGTCTCATATTTCTTTATGAAAACTCATTCTTTTCTCTGAAAAGTTAGTACGTTTCTTCAAAAAGTTAAAAGATATTGTTTCACCATATATAATTTAACACAACTTGATGAGTAGGTTTGATGAAATTTATATATTTTAAGTCTAGTTCCTATTTCTAATTAATATATCTACTATATCCCCAAATAAGTATCGTCAACTCAAGTATGACAACTGGAGTTGTCAACAAATGTCCCCTTACAAATTTTAACAAGCTAATAGTCCCCTTTCACTAATGCTTTTGCGAGCTGGCATTTTTTATTTAATCAACTGTGTCAAGGTAAAATAGAAACAAAGTAAGAGAGATGGAGGTAGGAAGAGGTCTGCTAAATGAATAGTAGAAATAAGAAAAAGTGCTTTGTTTTTTGAGGATTATTCAAGAGGATGAGGGTGCTTAGTTTTGTTCTATTCTTTAAAGAAGCAAAAATGGTTAATGACATAAGAGACAGATGTGAGAAAAAGAGGAAGGGCAAATAAATAGCGAAAAGAAGCGAGGGAGCTTTGCTTTTGTCAAATCTTTCGAAGTATAATGCAATATATAATATAAATTATAGTATGATTAATAATATAAAGTATAATTAATACTATAAAAATAAATAAAAAGTTTTTAATCAGATAAATAGAAATATAAACTTGTTGATATATAGCAAATCTATTAGTCATCAACTGTCTAATTAGTGCTAGTGAATATAATTTCCATAAGATTTTGATAATGTGATGAGTGTTTTGACATTTTTGATAATGATTCAGATTTTTTTTTATGGTTTTGAAGTATATATAAATTTGTAATAATTATGTTCAATTTCATCATATTTATATTTTTTAAAATTAATTAAATTTGTTTATTGTTAATTTCCTTCCGATTGTGCGATCATTTTCCATAAAAAAAAGGTAGCAAAACATATGTGATAATTAAAAAAGTTGTTGAAAGTAAGACAAAGTTAGAAAACCTTATTTTTTAATTTTATTTTTGAAATTTAATTAATCTATTTGTGTTATACATTATTTATATTTCTCATTACCGTTATTAATATTTTCAACATACATCAAATCAAATATGCTGATTTTATAATTTCACCAATTGTACTATGTATGTGTTCAACCCCCACAAAGAGAAGTTTTTCATCGAAATTTGGGGAGGAGTATAATTAGTATTTTATGGTACATCTGGTTTTTCCAGATAAGTTAATTAATTTTACAACCTATTTTTAATTAAAAATTAATGGAAATAATAATATAAAAATAAAAAGTTTTTAATCAGATAAATCGAAATTTAAGCTTGATATATATCAAATCTATTAGTCATCAACTGTCTAATAAGTGTTAGTGAATATAATTTCCAGGTCTTTGAATTGTACTGCATTTTTAAAAGTGTTGTTGTTTACTCCTGATAGGTATATAGGTTAAGTATTTTATGAATAATTTCCATTGATTTAGTTTTATTTCCATTTCTTGTTAGGTCTAATTTTTTTTTTATCCTCTGCTTCTAATAACTTAAATGTATCTGCAAGCTCTTGATATACTGACAAAACCACTGTCACCAGCGAATGCTAAGGTCTAAGTTTCTTATTAATGTTTTTCTGATGTCTTTCTAGAAATAGTTCCTTTATAGAAAAACCATTAATTACATAAGATCAAAAATTCTAGGGAAACACAAAAGGTTTTGCAAATGTTCGTTTTAAGTTAAGATTAATCATTACTTATGATTATTCTAAATCATTACTTATTACTTTTTTTATTCAGATTTTACAATTTCCAATAAAAGTTTAAAAAAATAAGTTCCTGTAATTCACTGTGTAAATTACTCTAGATTGGTTCACTAATTTAGATTGATTATGATCAAATTTCGATTTTATCTGTAAGTGTTTATTAAGTTAAAATGCTTTTTTTATGCTCAGTTAATACTTATTTCAGAAACGGAGTTCTGTAGTTAAAATTTTTTTTTAAACAGAAATATATATTGTACATTCTTCTTCTATCTAGATATGAGAGATTACTGCGTAAAGCTAGAAATGAAGATCTTCGGTCAATAGCAAATTTAGGTTGTTTATATCACAGTGGAGAAGACAGATTTGGTAGACCAGTCGTTGTATTTATTGGTAACAGATTTAAAGTTAATCAAGTTGATTTGAATAAAGTAAGTATGCAGTAAAATTTTTAAAATTATTTTGGAAACTTTTTTTGAGTAACCTATTTTCTGTTATTTAATCTGTTTGTTTTGTCATTCTATTTTCTGTCATAATCTCCAAAATAGATCTAATTTTTGTTGATGGCGGATAAAACAAGACAAAACCTGATTTACCCAAAATTTAGTCATTATCAGATATTTTGTAGGCGATGGGATTTCATTTCAGACCGCACTTTGCAAATTTCGTTGTAAAATGCAAGTTTTCCGATTTAAGTCTTTCTTCCATCGAAGCCGTGATAATTTGAAGCAAGTTGAACAATTTGCCAAAGTGTCGATTTAGCTAAAATTCTGACAATGTAGAATATTTTGTCTGTGTTGAGATTTTGATTTGATTTTGACTGGTTTCCACTTTGTCAGAATTTCGTCGAAGACCCGACTCAGCAAATCTTGGAATGTAAGTTTTACCGATTCATGTCTTTCTTCCAAGAGTTACTCAGCTTGATAATTTTGATATAAGAAAACCAACAAACTGGAGTCTAGACTTGGCTGAAATCCTGACATTGTCAGATATTTTGTTGTCAGCTGGATTTAGATAGATTTCAACATTATCAAGATTACTTCCATATTGAATTTTGTCCCATACTCTGCAAATTTTGTTGTGAAATGAAAGTTTTAGATTCAGGTCTTTCTTAAAAGTGCTAACCAGCTGTGATAATTTGAAGTTATATGACAACCAAGCTAAAATCCCTTCATTGTCCAATTGTCTAACATTTTGTTTGTGTTGAAAATTTAATTTAGATGGATTTCAACTTAGTCAGAGTTTGCGTTCAAGATGACTTTGCAAATCTGTAGGTGCAAGATCTGTTTTTCGATTCCTGTCTTATTTATTAAAAGATTAATTTTTTTAAGCTAGCAAATATTATGTATAAGATTTCTAATTGACAATGGCAATTTTCATTGACAGTAACAAGTTTCTCCTTTTTCTTTTTAGTTATGTGATGCACACTTTTAATTTTTCATTATAAATATTATTCGTTGCTTTTACTTATAGAAATATATATTGATGTTGTTGTATTAAGCTTGATAAGTTAGCAGAGCATTTTTCATTTTTAAAACAAAACCAGATTAAATTTGCATAGTAAAAACTGCTAAAACTTTCATTTTTTATCCCTTGCATGAGAATTTCTTCTTTCATAATTTAAATGGCAAAATTACTAGCAATATTTTCAATATTTTCTTATTTTTTGAAAATGAAAGCATAATTTATCTTATTTTGTATCAATTTTTGATAGAAGACTGTATGTGTTGATTATAGATGAAAATATGCTCTTAATTAAAACATCTTAGCTTATTGGGAGATTATTTAGCATTTAGTTTAGATAACTGATATGAAAATTTTGGTTTTAATTTTTTGTTAAATTGCTAAATAAATTACTAATTTTGCATTTTTATTTTGTCTAATCATGAAATATTTACTTTTCAAGCAAATCGTAAAAAGGGGGATTAATATTATTTTAAATTGGGACCCACTCTAGGTGAAAATGTCCCAGAAATTTAGAAACCCTAGGTCCCAAAGATCTATGCTTTCCAAAGTCTTGCAGAATCATTGGTAGTTTATGTTAGGGTGGGATGTTACACTGGAAATTTTTTATTTTGTTTTTAAATATTTATTTTAACTTTATGTTTAATAGTTTATATGCCTATGTCAAAAAGTAAAATACTATTTTTATTATGTCTTTTGATAGGCTGTCATGTATTTAGTTCTAACTTTGGACTCCTTAGTGCAGAAAGACTATGTTGTTGTTTATTTTCACACACTTACATCTAATGAAAACAATCCTTCATTGACATTCCTTAAAGATGTATATAGTGTTCTTGAATACAAGTATAAAAAGAATTTGAGAAGATTTTACATAATTCACCCAACATTTTGGAGTAGAGTAAGTATATGAAATATTTTGTATTTATCCCTTACAAAAAAATTAGGTATTTTTTAGGTAGAAAAGAGGTATTTTTATAAGGTGTTTTAGAGGTTAAAATAAGGTATATTTGCTGAGGTTGAAATTAGGCATAGTTTAACTTCATATCTACCTGAGGTGTTTTATTTTATACATTATGTGTTTAATGAGGTGTTTTATTTTATACATATATTATACATTAAGTTAGTAATTTAACACCTTAAGATATAATTTTTCAACCTAAAGTTGATAAATAATAACTTAATAGGTGTAAAAGTAAAACACCTCAGGTTGAAATAAGGTTTTTGTGTGCTCACATTACAACCTGTCAAACACCATAGGTAATAACGTCATTAATATAATTAACCTCAATGAAGTATAAAATAAAAAACTTTAGGGTTGGCAAATAATACTTTAAGGTGTGAAATAAAATACCTAAGGAAAATAATTCTCAACTTCCGATAGGGGTAAAAATCAAGCAACTGAGGTTGAAAGGAGGTTATGTCAGGTAGAAATGAGGCTATTACAACCTATTCACATACCTTAGATATTTAACAATTTCTATGAAGCACTTTCGATTGGTAAATAAATAACTTAAGATATAAGATAAAATATACCTAAAATCAATAATTAAAAACTTCTGATAGGTGTATGAGTAAAACACCTTGGTTAAAAATGAGGTTACGGTGTGCACCCTTGTCAAATATCTAGATAATTAACAACCAATACTACCTATGTCTAATACCTAGATAATTAACAATAGTTGATAATTAACCTCTATCTGGTATAAAATTAAGCACCACATAGAATATCCAAAGTGTTTAATTTTATATTTCTAAGAAGTTGATTATCTACTTTATATGTTTGGACGACCAAGGTTATAGTGCCTGCATATCACAATCTCCCATCCACCTGTAGTGCATCTTTCTTATAACATGACCTAAAATTATCTCCAAATAGTTATTTAATAATGTTTGCGACTTAGATCACCAGATTATGTTGGTATGAAAAAAAGCATATAAGTTTCCATTGAGAAAATTTGAGCTTTAAACAAAACCAAAAAAAATTAATTTTTTTAATTATATTTTAATCTTAAATACAAATAGCTGACAACCTTGAAACCAATAAAATTGTCCACTTCTGCTTAAAAGAATAACAAGGTAATTGAATTATCTAATGCTATAAATTGTTTTAAATAAATTAGTATGATGGTTCAGAAAATCTATTGTTACAAACAAGGAATTAATATCTATTTTGATTTAATTGAAATCATAGTGATTAAAATTGAAAAAAAAACCCTGTATTTTATGTAAATAAGTACAGTTCATGTACTTATTTACCTAACTAACATTCTGCACTTTACATTTATACAAGAGGATGGAAATCTACTTGTCTAATTTTATCAGTTTTCAGAGACATGGTATTTCATATCAAATAATCCATAAATAAGTCAGCAAAGGAATTACTCTGTATTCAATTCATAGTATGGATAATTTTCTTTAAGTGTGATAGATGTTACGAAAACAGTCACACTTACATCAAATTTATGTTTCAACAAAATTTTTTTTTCTAAAAATGTGGAGTCTTTGGCTTTTATGATCTAATAGCTTTTTAGATGAAAATTACTGCCAGTTAAGAGATTGTTTTCCCTAGGACAAGGGTATTTAAGAGTTTATTAATAGAAGACTGCCAGGTATTTTGAAAATTGTGTCTGCTTGGAAGAATGTCTGTATGGTGAGGTTTGATTGTATACATACAGTTGCCAATCCTACTTTTTCCTGCTATCTTGTTTTAATCAAATATTTTCTTAGTTTTTGTACATTTTAGTACCTAATAGTTAGCGCGAAATTTATATTAATTGTTGAATCTACTTGATTTTTTGCTTTTCAAGTTGACAGCCATATGTTTATATTAAAGCTTTATATCTGTGTAATAATACAAGCAATTTAATGTTTCTGTTTATTTTTTTTTCAGTTGATGTGCTGGTGGTTTACAACATTTACGGCTTCATCAATTAAAGACAAAGTTCAATTATTAGGGGGAATTGAATATCTTTATTATCTTATTCCACCTGATCAACTAGACATTCCATCTTTCATACTTGATTATGACTACAAAGTAAGTTTGGTAGAATTTCTTTTTTATCTTACAAATGAAATAAATAAAACCAGTATTGTTTACTGTAATTTTCCTATTTGTTTTTTTGCAGGTGAATGGGGTTAGGTATTGTCAACCTTCTCAATCCCCAACAGCCTGAAAACAATGTGCCAGTTATTTTTAATTCTGTGAGATTAAATATATATATATTTGTATAACCATTATTTTTCTTAAATTGAAATTGTTACCAAACTATTTTTATAGAATTAGTATGTAAATAAATTGTTGAAATATATTTATTACTAACTTATGGTTTTCAGCATAATATTTGACATTTTATACTTTTTCATTAACAAACTAATTCAATTACTCTGAAGAAATTTTATCAGATGGCCAGTAATTAACCTTTTACTGTGCAGTGTAGCCAGTCTGGCAACACATCTAATTCAACAAATATTACAAATCACTAGAAATGTGACTTTCTTTCCCCAAAGCTTTTTGGCCCGTAACTTTTTATTCTGTAATTCAATATAAGGTGTTAAAAAAAACCATGGTGGTTATAGTAAAGTCCATAAACCTTATTTTTTATCGGCAATAAAACTTCTAACACAATCCAAAATCTCCAAAGTTAGAATTAGTTTGTTTTAAGGGAACTATTTTCTTTGTAACATTTAAAAAAAATTAAGAGGAAAATAATAAAACGAAGAAGAAATTAAAAAATGAAAATTTACCTTAAGTCATTAACCAAATTCGTAAATGACGACCTCATTATCATACAAAGTTTATTTGTTGTAAAATAAATGATAAACCATGAGGAAGAAAGGTAGTTAACAGAAAAGCAGTGCCATCGCATGTTAATTTAAAAAGAAAAATCCTATGAAAATTTAAAGAAGATTTAAGAAAATCTATGTTTTGTTACTTTGAAAAAGAATTAGGTGCTGAAGGGTTAATTATGTTGCTGGCATATGCTCATTTTATATGTAATCTTTAGCTGATGAGCAATCCTCAACATCAGATATGGAAACACTTCCCGACTCTCTGATAATTTTTCCTGAATTTGTTATTCCGCTTTATAAATCTGTCTAACCAGCCATTGGAGCACATAAAAGTAGTCTCATAAAACGGCTTAGCAAATTCATCAGCTTTGACTTGAAGCATTTGTCCAGATACTGGAGGATTGCGGCTTCTTTGAATGCTGAACCATTTAAATAATGAAGGAAACAAGAAAAAATGCTTGTTTCTATGTTACATTTTATGGATGGTTTAAAAAATCGGTATATGTATTTATTTTGAAGTAGAAATTTCAAAATTATTACAAAAAAATGAAAATAAATCAGCAACGACAGAAAAAAGTTCATAATATCCAACTTCCCCTCTTTTTTCATTCACTATATTCACAAAAAATAGCATACGTGTGAAGCAAGGCACAGGGGCGAACATTTCTTACACTATATCCGGGAGTTCACTTTAAACTGTGTTTAAAATTTAGCTGAATAATGTTTACACTATTGTAAAATCGAAAACTTTATATCAATGTAATAAAGAATCTTGTTTAAATTTTCACCAGTGAGGTCTTGAATATTCTTTGCAAAAACAAATTTTTTAAATGCACAAGTTTTCTTTATGGCAAATCCAATCCATCAATACCATCCATCAATACAACTGCTCAATTTTTTTTTTCTATTTTCTTTCTTCAAAATTCTCTGTACAAAATGTTTACAAATATCACCTTGTTTTTTTTTTTAACCTATTTACAATGTTCATTAAGCATAATCTCTAATCAGAGAAATACAAGCAATGGAATTGTTTCAGACAATAATAATTTTTGTGATAGCAGCATTCTCAAAAGAGTAATTGATGGTAGTCAAATTTTGATCATTAATACTTAAGATAGCTTTTAAAAGATGATGTAAAATGTGCTATATTTTTTCATCTCATTCTCGTTTGCAATTATATGTTTGTACAAATTTAATTTAGATAAAACACAATATTTACTACTTTTTTTTTGATTTTGAAATTTAAATGATATGTAAATCTTTTTGGCTAAGATTGTTGATTTAGTACAAGGCACCTTTAAATAATTATCGAATTGTTTAAATTCTGACGTGCCCATGTAAAATTATTTTTAAATTATAAAATTTTATTAACAATTTTTATAATATTAGATGCTATCCTTGTTTCACTCCCTGGTAAAATTTCTACAATGCATTTAAGTTTTGCTTCAGATTTTTTTGTTAAGTAATGTTTCAGATACTATAAAAATAAAGTTATGTAAGTATTTATCCATTTAATTTCAATGAAAAAAGAAGTTGGAGAAAATTTATGGAAGTAAGTAATTTGAAAAATTTTAAAATTTTTTCTTTATTGTCTCAATTATTACAAAAAATTACAATTTTTAAAATTCAGGCAATTTTATTTTTAGTTTTAAAGAAAAAAAAATTAAAGTTAAAATTTCCACTCTATTCAAATATAAATATAACTTAATAATTATAGTGTGATTTTTATTATATAATTTCAGAATATATAATGTATGATGAATGTGAAATTACAAATGGCTAAAGTAAAATGAGAGATGGCTAGAGATAATGAAATTGGCTCATTTCTGAAGAAAAAACTAAGAATACATTTAAAATAGAAAATAAACATTTAAAAATGATTAATGATGTAACATTTATTAAAAAATTCCTTGTTTAAACAAAAAAAAATCACAATTAAAGTTTAGCTACTCAAGTATTATTTCTTAATTAAACTTCAAATATTTATTCAAAAATATTAACTGGACACAAAATATACTTTGGAATAAGAGGGAGGAAAATGGATGGTAGCAGAATTCGGTAATGTAATTCAGTAATGCCTAAAATGACATTCTGAAACTATTTTTCCATGTTTTACTGCTTCACAACAATACAGAAAATTAAGTAAAATCGTATCTCCGAATTATTGTACTACTATCCAAATCTTCCCCCTGTATATTTAGAAATTAAGAACTACCTAAGATAACAGAAAATATAAAATTTAATATTATATAGCATCAAAACCAATGCAAAATAATATCACTGCGAACGCTAGATAAATATTAGTTGTCTAATATTCGTAAAATATGCAAGATAACGTTGGATTTTTCTGATGTTATCTTTTTGATGGTTACCTAATATAAGTTGCTGCTTGAGGAGTGTTATTCTTCGGAAGTCAATGAAAAATTGAACATCTGCATTTGTTGACAAAGAGCAAAAGAAAAACGATACTTGAGTGTGGGATGAGTGGCATTTTGAACGATTAAAGTTGTTAAAAATCTGTTAAATTTACCATGCTTTAGTATTTACGAAAGAGGACAGGATTTATTTCAACATCTAATATTTGCTAAAAATAAATTTCGAGTAATAACTGCGCTCCTTTACTTTTTTTTAAATTATTAATCTGGTACTTCGATGGACTTTGATTGTTTTACTTTTTATGTTCATCTTGCATAGTATGCGATCTGTTCTGGAATGACGAGTCCTATTGAACCATCCGTTTAATTTTAACAATCTTGTTTATACATAAAATGACTTCGCGCCGTTCACGTTTAGTGATTAAAAGAGACTGAAATAAAAAAGAAATTGGACAACTTTTGTTTATTATTTAACAATTTTATCATCTATACTAAAGTTGCTAAATTAAGAAGAGAATTCGTAAATTTTTTTCATAAAATAAATTAGTTCCAAATACATATTCAAATGTAAGAACTAGTAGTTTCATGGAAAGAAATTGTGTTGGTCATAATTTTTTCCATAATATTTTGCTCTTCAATATCTTTTTTTTTTCCTGACATATAAGCAAAATAATTTGCAATAGCAGCTAAACTAAACTCGGCGGCGCGACAGCCTTTGCGGGCCAAGGCCTACTGTGCCTCCAATGAGTCTCACCTACTTAGTTTTAAGAATTTAAAACAATCAGTTCCTCTGATATACAGGGGTCTTCAAATCTTTCGCGCCAGGTCATCATGAACTAAACTAAGCTCAGTGGCTCAACAGGCCATGGAGGAACAAGGCTTACTGTGCGCATCTCAGTTTTCTTGACCTTGGGCTCTGGGATGCCGGAGCAGATGTTTATGTCAGGTGGTCAGCCGAACGCGGAACCCCCAGTGTTTAGTTCCCAAGCATGCTTGGTATTCATTTATCGACCCACTGAAGGGATGAAAGGCTGAGTCAGCCTTGCCCGGCCCTAAGATCGAACCAATAGCAGCTACGCATATTAAAAAGCACATGCTTTCCCAACAAATTCTAAACCTGGGTCGTATTTTTTTCAAAAATTAAGTAAATTTTTTTTTTTGTTGATGTAATTTAAATAATTGTAATAATAATTTACTTACTTATTTTATATTCTATTTTATACCGACTTTGAACAGACCCAATTCTGACTTTTCGACTATCAATGTTCAACTCCGAAGACAAGAAAACTCCTGGATCAAGCGTTGGGAGAAGCTCACCTTAAGGGAAGATTTTTTGATGGAACTAACCCGCATTTATGTTACATGGAAAGGAACTCATTATTATCGACCAGCCATCGCTGGGATTCGAACCTGGGTTCCTCGTTGGGAGGAGAGCCGCTCTATCCCTTGAGCCACCGCGGCTCTCGTCTAGTGCTTATTGTAATATAATATCTTAAAGAAAACTATAAATGAAATATGCTTTATGACTTTCAAAAAATGGATGGATGATGACAAGCCTTTTAAAATTTAATTTCAATATATGAAATAATGCCTTATAAACATTGATTTTATATAGAATATTTTTTTTTCGAAATACTTAAAATAGTCATTATGTGTCGTCAAAAAATTTATTTTATTTTTACAAACATCAAGGTAAGAACATGTAATACAACAAGGATAGTTCTATAACAATTTGCTATTTTGTATGTACTATACACAAGGTTTCATTTAAATGTATACAGATATACATTTAATATATTAAAAATTGATCAAACTTCATATCGGTTTGCAATTATTCAGTTATCAAATGTTTTCTATATATTCCTTTTATTAAGGCTTATAAAATAAATCCAAAAGCAATAGTTAAGTAGCACAATGTATTAGTGCTGTGAAAAATGTATCACAAGTTTGTATATAGCTACAATTTATCAGATGTTTAAACATTCTTTACATTATTTGTAATTGTTGCTATAAATGAAGAGCTTAGTGGAAGAACCGGCTAAGTTACATTTAAGTGAATCTGAGTAAATGAGCGCAAAAGTTTATACATTGCCCCTTTTTGTTTTTTCGTTCAATTATTATATTTTTAGTATGATTATGAAGACATAACTCGCAAATTTTTGGGGATCTATTTATTTGACTCTTTTTATAAAGGAAGATTTTAATGATTTTTGTGCGTAGTTTTTGCTTGTTTTCTCGGACTTGTTACTAATATGCGTATCACGATACCTATTGTGAGTGGGGAAATATGTATTTTACAGCTTACTGAAAGGGATAAGTAACCAGAGAAAATTGTTAATCATGGCAATTGTTGACTCTTAAGGAGTGGTCTGGAGCAATAGAATTATACCGAATGATTGTGTCCACTTATCTCTTTTTAATTTTGTTTATGATTTTGTAACGTTGATCATTACAGATTTATTGATTATTTAATTTTATTTCGAAAAGAAAAACGAGTATTCAGCTAGTAACAATAATGATAAACTGAAATAATATTTATTTTAAACGCGACTTTGCCTGGAAAAAAGATATAATATTTTTACTATGGCAGTGTCTGAAACAAAAACTAATGCGAGCCATAACAAAAAAACTGGATGTAGAAGCTTTTTAATGCTCATTATTATTATTATTATTTTTTTTTTAAATATTGATTCGAAAAAGAAAAAAAAAACAAAATTTTCCTTATTGTATGGAAGTTGCTGTTTCAAGTTTTTATTTTTACTTTAATCAATTAATTTCTCCGTGTTCCTTAACGTTCGATGCCAAGCGGGAGATTGTTTAGGGTTGTTGATTGACTCTTTGTCGCCAAGTCATTTAACCGGTTCTTCCATCCATTGAATACTCAAACATTGTCACTTAACAGGTTCTTCCACTGAGTATCTTGCTAAAATAAGAACTTTCCCCGAGAAATCTCATTTTTTTAAAAATGTTACTTAGCCGGTTCTTCAACTAAGCTCTTCAAATATATTAAAAAGTGTGCCAATCAATGGTCTCATGAAAATAAATAATAAAAATTTGATACTGAAGTCTTTGAAAGTATTTTGAATTGCTTCTGAGTTACAATAAGGCAGTGTTTGTAACTTAACAAAATTACTATTTAATATGTCGTGTTAAATGAGTGAAACAGTTATGTAACATCAAACTAAATTTATCACGTTGTAAATAACTTTACAAAATCATTCAAATTTATTTCCCTTCTGATCCCTTCGAATTTGGCTGTCTTTTTTATGATCATTTTTAGGTATACAGTGAAGAATGCCGCAACTATTATCCCAATTATCTGAATGTTCATTTCCTCAAAATTTCTTAATTTTTGAACAAAAAAAAAAAAGTTGAATGGTATTTTCTGAACAAGATAGCAAAAAACAAGAAA